AGTACAGAATGCCACACAGCGGTTTAGGCAGTGACGAAACTGAGCCAACTTAAACGGGAGGGGCGGTTACCATGAACTAGATTTGGCCTTTGACCAGAACTTTATCCCTATTATTTATAAAAAGAAACTGGAAATTATTTTATAGACAAAAATAAAGCTTAGCTTTTTAATGTATCACCTGAAAGACTGGGAAAATATTTTTTGTAAGTCAAGAATTTATGCCAGTGTTACTATTTAGACTGGCATTTAAAAGCTGTTTAAAACCTGCAGAAGTCTTAGTTGCTAAAATGATACATGCACAAAACACAGAGATTTAAATGTTGATTTACATGACACTCTCGCTGAAGTAAAATTTCAATAATGTAAATATTTTAAAACATGGGTACAAGTTGGTAATGTCAATTTACATAAATACGACCTTTATTAAGGTAGCTATGGACAATTCAATGAAATCTGTACGTGAAAGGGCATATGGAAAATGCTCTGATCCAAAGGTATTGGCTCAGTCTAATTCTGGCTTCACTACAGTTCTTCATAAGGAAGTTTTAGAATTTTATTATTCTTACATGATCTTCTCCAGTAGAAAGGTATACCTACTATACCAGGAATGAACTAGGTATTATTTAAAACTATTATTTAAGTTTCTGATTTAGAGCTTTAAAAGAAAACCTATTTGCACAAAAAGAAGTGCAGAATGAGGACAGACAAAAGTAGCACAAGAAATCATATCCTTTAAATAAATAATCATATATAATAACATCTCCCAATATGTCATAAAAGGTCTTTAAGACAAATACTTTCTATGATCTTTGACGTAAGTTTTGAAAAAAGTTATATAGAAAGAATAGCAGGCTGTGGGTTTTGTCTTTCCAAGTGCAAATTTCTTTCTATTCCTGGGTAGTGATAGGCAAACAGGGGCGCAAGGGAGGGGCGGCGGAGCCCTGGAGCACACCTCGCAAGGCAGGCACACAGCGTGACGGGGCATCTTCTGTGTGTCTGCTCACTTCCACATTTGATAGGAACTGAGGGGTGGTGTCATGGTTCCCATTTGCAGATAAGGTCGCTGAAGCTTACAGAAATCAAGGAACTCACCCCAAATCACACATTTGACTAGTAAAAGTAGGCTGTAACATTTGTATAGAAATGTAGTACCTCTAGTTCTCTAAATAATCACAATTGCATCTAGTTGCAGTGTAATTTTAAATTGACGGCGCCTCTTCTAAGAGAATTCTTGAATATACATCTACACTGGACAATTACAGAAGGGGTGTATTGGCATATGTAAGAATGTGTAATTGTAGTGAAACATAAAATGGCTCACCTAGAAGTATAAAAAATAAATTTGTGTAGAAATTTCATGTCAGGATGGGTTAGCCTTAATGATATGGTACAGCTACAATTCATCATCACAATTTAAACAATTAATGATTATGCAGACTTATGGGAAGCCAAAATATTTAAAATTTAAGAGATGGGGGATTACATCAGCATGTATTATATCTTGTTTTACAGGCATGACAGAATGGTAAGACTGTAGAGTTTGTGTGTTCTGGAATCAGATCTGGATCCAAAACCTGCTTAAAACAATTACTGGCAGTATAAGGAAGAAATTTAGTATAAGGAAAGTAAGCTTCTCTATTCCTCAGCTTATCTATCTGTAAATGAAGAAAAAAAGGACCAATGTGGTCAATATTTAGAGAATTACTGAGAGTTTGCCCGCCCCGATGCCAATGCATAAGGGGAGCTGTTATTACTGTAGTTTTCTAATTGATCTGGGCATAAGTCTGATCTGCCCAAATAAGCTTCTTGTGGACTGGGCTTTATTGGTATTGTCAAGGCCATCTAACTAAAGACACCAAGAAAGCACCAACAGTGGAAAGAGTTAGGTTTGATATTTACTGCAGAGAAGGGGAACACTCACCATGGGGCAAAGTAGTAGGTATTTTCATACGAGGCTTTTAGAAAAGGATGTATTATAGGATTTAGACTTTGGTTGAGTGATTTTGGGGGAGCTCTAAGGATGGTGTTCACTCCAGATTGGCCGGTGTTGGAAAGCAGGGGCAATTCTATAGGGAAGGCAGAACAGTGAGGATAAAGTTGTAATTGGTAAGGAAGCAGCAGGCACTCCTATTAGCTGGGAGAGGGCAACATGTGGTATTTTGTGGATGGCACAATAAACTTGCTTTTGTCTGTACTGAGATGACATTACACAGTGGTCTTTGTTTTGTCTCATTTTATCGCGGCCTTGGCATGTCTCTATCTGATGTGAATGTTTCAAGAGATTATTTATGGACAGTAGGACAATTACATGGTCTAGCTGTGAGGGCCAGACCGACTTCTAAGACTAGTGAGGTCTCAAGTCAGATCAATTCCTGGATGGCAGGGGCTGTTGCTTTCTCAATATCTTCTCAAAACCTCCCGAAGGCCACATCTATTATGAGTGCTTAATAAGCTTCCTGAATTAATTCAAAACCATATTGAAAAGTGAGTTGTATATTGTAAGAATGTAATTTTTTACACATATATCAATCATTACTTTCAGTTAAGAAGTTTGCTTCATTCATTACTCCTCTCAAATAAAAACAGCAGTATAAAAACAATTTGATTCTAGTTTACATGTGGAAATTCTGTATGATTCTACCAAGATTATGGCTCAAATCAAGAGCTAGAGTACAAACTCCAGTAGGTTCACCTTTGCAGGATGTTATCAAATTTTATCAGTACATTTTCTTTCTTCCTCTGGTGACTATACTGTATAAGCCAGATTTTTTTTCTTCATGCTTTCCATCAGTTTTCATGGCCAAGAAAACAAAAATTAAATTTGAGCATCTCCCTAATCTTACTTAGCTAGACTTCAAAAAGAACCATACTTTCAAATGCTGAAAATCCATATTGTGAATACTTTTATTCCTTAAATGGATATTATCTTCCTGTACAATTAAAAAAATTAATGGGTACTTATCATACACTTTTCAGGGAAAAATGTATTCAGAGTACATTAGGATTACTATTTGTTACTCTCATCTCAAAATGGACATTAGGCATTTTAGGGTTATAGTACTTCAGTAACTTGGAAAGTGTGGATCAATTTTAAATCTGGCCGCCATCCAATGGTTACATATCACCTGTTTTAGAACAGGTTTTACTACCATATCAAACTCCCCCTTGCTCTCAATCTTCTGGAGTATTCTATTCTAGAACAATTCTTGCAAATGACGATTGTTCCATAACTAGAGTCCACCTCAGTTCCAGCATTTTATTACCTAAAGATATTGTGAATTAAAAAGGTAATAATCATAACCTCAAGTAACACAAACCTTGTGAGGAAATAAGTAAGTCTTGGTGTGGAGAGATCAGTTCTGAATTATGACAATACCTGTATTCTAGAAGCTATACTAGAAGCTCCTGACATGTCTACGGCAAGCAAACTTGTCATTCATAGTCTGAGGGAGAATCTGGGCTAGAAGTTCTCATGACTGGAATGTCAATGGCAATAGTATGCAGAGTTGAAAGCTGAGCTCATCAAATCTCCAAGGAATTAAAGCAACTGTCAGAGGTTGAACTATCTGTTACTAAATGGGCTGATTAAAAAGAACTTTTAAGTATTTCAAGGGCAGAAAATGGGAAACTTGAGCTAAAAGTTCTGAGGTCTCACAAAAACTGTTATTAAATAAATGAAATCAAGATTTAGAGTGACGAATATTACAAAATATATAATAAATAAAGGGTCTCTATGTATTTTATGCATATATGTATATACAGGCATTAAGTTGTGAAATAAACAGATTTCCAGATATAAATGAAGATGGGGGCATCATGATGTATGGCACACCTCTTCTGGGGGTGTGTGTGACACAATTACCAGAGGGACTTTACCTACAACCACAATCAGTGTAACCTCAACCTCATTCTTTATACCCTTAATGAATCCCAAACAATAATTAAAAAAAAAAAGAATAAATAAAGATCACAGATAATTATCACTTTAACATCTCAAGTAGTTTTTATTAGTTAAGTTGATGGCTATAAAAAAGTCTTTTAAATTTTCACTAATGACTACAAAGAATCTCCAAAATTTAAAGTATGTTATAAAAGTGACATAATAATAAAGTACTTTTCTAGAATGAAAAGTACTAATAGACATTACCATAGATTAAATCACATGGTTTATAATCTATAATGCTAAAATTTTATGTGAATATGAATTATGATGCAATAATTTCATTATGTCATCTATTCTTAAACGGTTATTTCAGCACAACTGAAAACAAATGCCTCATAATTAGCTCTTTAATAGAATCTGGGATAAATTATATATGTCAAGTGCTTTTATATAAATAACAGAGGAAAAATAATGACTGAGCTACTCTGGATCATATACAAAGAAGCTGCAAGAAAAAAATGATGAGAGTTTAGAGGAAAGTCCAGAAATATAAACATAAAAAATGAAAAGGCAACTGGGAGGGAAGCCTTCCTAGAGTTTACCCATTTGCTTAGGAAATGCTATCTTAAGGGTATTCTACAAAAACATCAATCCAGGGGCATGTCAAATTAAAAGATGTAACACTAACAACTGCAAATAATGTAACCTAATTGTATGTGTCCTTATAATAATCAGGGAAAAAATAGTTATAGTTCTTTAGGTATGTCAATACCCTATGTAACCCTAGAGGAGTTCAGTTACGAAACTGAATACTACCTTATTAGAATAAATATAAAAAAACCATAACATGCATAAAGTACTATTGAACGATTTACTTTCCTGTGGAATTTAATCAGCCTACTTTCATAAATTGCCCTTGGAGTTAAATTATAATAATAATGGCATCTGTTGCTTTTTTCCCCCCATTAAGTTATTTAAGTTCAAGTATCAATGACCTTTTCTATCACAATTTTAGGTCAACTCATAAACCTAATCTTGCAGATTATATCATAGTTAATTCTTGTTTTCTGCATAGTATTATTCTTTAAAGACAAAAAGTTTGAATGGTAAGTCTTACCTGACCAGGTTCTGTTCCAGTTATAGTCAAATCTTGGATGGACCTACGTCTTGGCTGTCCGTTGCCTTAAAAAAAAAACAAACACACAGGTAAAATACTGAAATCTATTCAAATAGATAGTAAAAGGCGTAATTGCTATAGTAGGATGTTGGAATTTGTTGGTCCTTGGATCTACACAAAATGTTTGTGGGAAAAAGAATAAGTGAGTTTATTGGGGGGGAAAAAAGAAGAGAAAGCTGTAAAGAAAGAAAGAGAAACAGCTGTAGTGTTTTAACTCAGAAGTTGCTGGCCCATACCAGAGAATGTCCTCATGCAGTAACCACTCCTGCCACACGAATAGCTGCTGAACTCTACCATCTTCTGTCACGTGTTTAAACAGATGAGAAGCTTGGGAAGTGGGGCTGATGATAGCATCTATTTCAAGGGCCTTATGTTATGATTTTTACAGCAAGACAGCTAGTAGGTTGTAAGACACAACTGCCTTTAACGGGCAGCAATAACTTGTTCATTTCAGGGCCTATAAGGATGCTTAGACTTAAATTATTACACTGAGTCACACTTACTTAATCCTATTACATGCTGTCAGAATATAGTAATTTATTATTTGTGAACAATTCTTAATTTCCTACTGTTAAGGAATGACTCTCATTTCATTCTTAAATACACACCTTGTTGAAATGGACTATTGTGTTAGCCCTACTTTAGGAACTTCTGTGCTAATAACAACTGAATAAAAAAAAATCACTTCATGAAAAGAATTCTACAAATATTAAGTCTTCAGCAAAACAGAATGAATTAAGCAATATTTTCACTCAGTACTTTTATTTGGGAATAGGACTATTCATATATACGGTATCTTCTAAGATGAGAGATCAGCTGTGTAAAAGGAAATGCCAAAATACTACCAGTAACAGCTGGTACAATACTCAAAATTCTTTTGCCTATGAAAGCTGTATTATGTAACTTCTCAACTAGAGGGCAACACTTAGAACACGTACTAATAGTTGTGTCCAGATAAGCAGCAGAATTCATTCATAAAACTTTATATATTTCTATAATCCTGTGCATAAAAAAAAAAATCTTATTTTAAACCAATCAGCAACATAATTTAAACCGGGCATCCTCAAACTATGGCCCGCAGGCCACATGCAGCCCTCTGAGGACATTTATCCGGCCCACCAGGTGTTTTTGCCACAGCTGCCTGTCCTGCTCGTCCCGGGGCCCGCAGTCCAGCCCTCCAACGGTCTGAGGGACAGTGAACTGGCCACTTGTTCAAAAAGTCTGAGGACCCCTGACTATGTGACCCCCCCATTATTGTTCTGCACATAAACTTACAAAACCTTACAAATGAATAGAATGTTTAATGTGATAATATAGGTAGTGACACACAAACTTAAATTTATAACCAGTTTGGAAAGTATAAGACATCATAACTATTTCATTTTAAGTTATGCTTTAGAATTCTTTGTATAATTTGAATTCAAATTAACTTCAAATTTTATTTTATTCCAAAACGTTTCAACATTCCATTTTAATTAAAACAAACTGTGCATTTATTGAATCAGACACACTAGATTACTTCTGTGAATTCAACTATTCTTGTTTCCTGAGGACAAAAAGGATCCCTACCCACCATGACTAATAAGCAATTTTAGGCACATTTCATTCAACACACTCATTCTAAAATTAGCAGTGATGAGACAGGCTTGTAAAAGTGTCTGGAATTCTCTTTTCAGATTAGCAACACAGCAACATTTGTGAATCTGAGGAACCACCCAGCACATGTGTCTATAAACCATTACATCACCATTGCAATAACAACAAAAACTGAACTCAAATTTAGGTGTGGGGGGAAGAGGGTAGGAGAAAAGGAAAGCAAAAACTTTTAAGGAAATAGGGGAAAGAAGAGCTGACAGTTAACAAATGCCATAAAATGAGAAATATTCAAGCTACAGTGAAGAATCAAAGCAAGCAATATTAGGCAAGGCATTTTAATTAGCACAACCATGACAGAAACCATCTGGCAAATAGTTTAGACAAAGCAAAATAGGATTGCAATCAACAAATACTTTTGCTCCAATATTAAGTTTTAGGCCATAATTTAGAAATGTGGATGTAAAAATACCAATCGCCTATTATTTCAAATGAAAATTACTGAGTGTGTTCTCAGCAAATTTGGATTGATTCCGATATATTTTTGCATCTGAATACTAATTTAGAAATTGACTCATTGTACTTTTTTTTTTTTTTTTTTGCTTCTTTGGTATGTGCATACCTACATTATACAAGGCAATGTAAATGAACAAAGTAGTAGAAAGGAGGGCAACATGATATAAACAGATGCCTGATCAGGGAACATGAGGCCTGCAGATGACGTCCTGAGCTTGCATGGCCTCTGACAGAGAACAAATCACATTTTGAGGGATGACCTGTGAGTCAAGAATACAACACATTGCCAGTGCATCCCAAATCCACCCCCTCTCCAATAGAAAGCGGAGGAAGAATAGCAGCTTAGAGGTAAATTTGGTTCTTTTTACCGTGATGTCATTAAGACAGAATCCGCCTCTTCAAAAACTGAGCTGATATTTAAAAGTTATCAGGAAGTTCTCCCAGGGAGCGGCTGAGGCCCCAGTCATCCCTGTCACTCTTACTGGTTCACGTTCGGAGCTCTCCTTACCTTTACTACTCTCATCTTTCTAGTTCTCAGACTTCCTGAGGACTTTCTTCTTTTCATGTAAAAATCAACACTATATTTTGCTGGAGACATCTCTTAACCTAAATGTTGGAAAATTTGAGATTCATAAGTTTTAAATATTAGAAATTTCAGGACATTTCTGTCTTTATATGTCAAATACACAAGATTTAAAAATCTGTACAGTATGACACACTGCGGCATGATTACTACTTCATGGTCAACTGAGTATGTATTTTTAAACCTGTGTTCTCATTTAGGCTGTCACAAATTTCATATTCCTTCACTAATTTCAACAAATTCTGACTCTTCCATTAAAAAGCCCCTTCAGTGGGGCTTTATGTTTCCCTATAAAGGAAAGGAAAACAATTATTACTGAAGAGTTTTGCTTTCTGTTACTAATAAGCCACCCTTATTGGATTTTTTAGATTACAATGGGAGGTTACCTATTGTATTCATTGTTAAGGACAGATTAAGTTCCCTATTTAGTTAGCCACAGATACAAAATTTTATTGAACATGAAGTGGCTACATACAGAACTGGTATAGTATCCCTTAGTATAGCAACCCTTGGGTCCCAGCATCCCTAGTCAAAGATTAACAACTGCTGGTAACACTATCTGTTCAAGGGTAGAAACTTGCTAGATCTAGAAAAACCCAATTCTCTTTCTCTCTGTCTGTTCACATTGGTGTACTGTTTGGGGGGAATATTTAATAATAATTTTCCAGTTAAAGAAATGCTTACAGACATTACTATCTACTAGCTCTTGAACCAAATATACTACAAGAAAGATGGTATTTTCAACCCAGTGGAGAAAGCAAACTAGTATACAGGTGTCCTCAAAAATTCTATTTCAAGTTGTCTAGCATTCTTCAAAGCTGATCTGTTTGTCAGTATCTGATATTTGGAACTTCTGAAAGAGGGCAACAACACCTAATTGGAAAACTACCCACCTGTTTTCCCATTGAATATTTTTGGGCCGTTCCCCCTTCTACTTATTTCATTTTACTAATTAACATACTTGTGGCAAAAAAACCAACATACAACAGAGCTAAACGTCCTTGACTGAAATGAAAAGTGAATACTCATTAACTTGTTTTTCAGTTAAACGATGAAATATAGCTGAAATTGGGAAGGATACCTACGGTTTCTTTTTAGCTTTAAGATGATATTACAAACAATAACTACTAATTAAATTCAGGCTCTTAGGGAACTAGGCAAGACTACTTCAAATATTTCAGTAAGACTGACTGAAAACATTTGTATATTCAATTTTTTATTTTTTTGAGACATAGTTTCACTCTGTGCCCTTGGTAGAATACTGTGGTGCATAGCTCACAGCAACCTCAAACTCCTGGGCCCAAGTGATCCTCCTGCCTCAGTCTCCTGAGTAGCTGGGACTATAGGTGTGTACCGCAATGCCCTTCTAGTTTTTTCTATTTTTAGTAGAGATGGGGTCTTGCTCTTGCTCAGGCTGGCCTCAAACTCCTGAACTCAGGAGATCTGCCTGCCTTAGGCTCCCAGAGTGCTGGGATTACCCATCATATCTGGCATCAATTTCCTTTATCGCATCCTAAGAACAATATAGAAGACAGAAAATCCTCTCCTAGCACTCTCAAATGTTCTGGGTTAGGCTTAGAAAAAAACAAAAGGTATGTTATAACAACACTGTTCAGTTTCTCAAATTGAAGCACTTCAAGGCAATGCTTATCTATAGAACAGATGAGAAAATTTTCAAGTGCTTAAAATGAAATCAAGTATTATAATTTAGTCTGCACTAAGAAATAAATCCTGAATTATTGATTATATTATATTAGCAATAATAAATACTCCTTAACTATATTCTATAAAATTTTCCAATTTAGCTAATTTTCTCAAGATAGATTTCTAATATGATTACATCATCAGTATTTGGAAAACTTTACTTCTCCAAGTCACACTGGGAATCATTTCATTTTATAACAGCAATCAAGTTGGTATAAAATATGTGTAACAAATTTTTTATCAGAATGGAAGCACAGAAGACCAATGTTTCACCCAAACCCCTTACAGGTGGTTATGTATGCATCAGGATCAGTATCTATCAGCACTTTTCCCCACTGGGTTTCAGAACGCACCATCGTCATAGCTGATCGCCTCCAGAACTGCAGAGCAGGACTGCTGCTTGCCGCTGCTTACTGATGCCACAGCCATGAACAAAACTCGCCTTCTTAACTACTCATCCTCTCTCTCAAAGCTGTTCCTCCTTTTTTGTGAATTTTAGGTATGACATTTGAATTAAAAAATGTAAAATTTAGGTATTTTCCTAACATCAAATGAATGGTTATTATTAGAGTGTATAATATAGTTTCACAATCACAATCCCTGAATAGGGATTTGTGTATCTGAGATGAAAGTAGGAGAAAAATAGACTCCTAGAAACTTGGATAACAACAAATACAAGACATAGGGGAAAATAAAGAAACTCCAAGCCAAGATCTATGTTCTTACTGCCTTATTAAATCCTGGAAGAAAAAAATTGAGAAAAATTTAAGCAATCCAATAATTGGCCACCTATTCTCCTTTCTGCAAATAGAAGTTCAACGAATTAAAAAGTACATGCTTTTTAAAAGTCATTTTCCCCCCCACTTTGCTTAGGTAGCACAATTCCACTTGCCAGGACCTTCTCTACAAATGAAGAGTCCAGAGAAAGTCACAGCTACTCTACTGGTAATCCGCTCCTAACTTGTGTCTTGTCTGGTAATAGGAGGCAGGCTGAGTTTCAGCTCATGCTCTAGGGGGAGAGGGACAGTGGGAAGCAGAAGGAACAGGTACCCCACCAAAGTTGCCAATACTTCATCAGAGCTACGAATAAGACAGAAGAGGTCCAAAAACTGCACCTGATCCAGAGGGAGTCTGGAAGTATTAAAGGTCAGTTTCTTCAGGGCTGGAGCAGCTACTGAATGGATGAACACTGCTCACAGTAGCTTTAAGTGGCTTTTTCTTCCACATTTGAAATATATAATAGTTTTGAAGAGCATGCTGAAAAATAAGATTAGATTAGGGTCTTTGTGTTTGTTTACCTTGACTGGTTTAAACATTTTTGCCACTAAAAAGTTGTACGTGTGAAAGCTTTTTGTGCTACTTGAAGAAGCATGCTCTTATGAAGAGAGAGAGTTCAATTCCAGAAGCACATTAGACTCAGTGTAGACTGCACTTGGCCAAAGGGATGTATTATTGAAACTATTTTCTGCACAAATTTTAAAAAGCTGTATTTTAAAAAATGGTTACAGCTGGTTCAAATGCTAATTAATAACAGTTTGGACATATCAAGAAGCATTTGGTAATACCATAGAACTTGTGGAAAAGCCACTTAGAACCAAAAAAAAATTCTACAAGGTATTTGGGAAATTAAAAATTTTCTGTTACAATTAAAATGTCATGCAAGAAATCTGAGATATTCCCAAAGGGTGAGCTATATTTTTATATTTAATTTTAAAATATGACCTAGAAACATCTTAATATGTTTTATGTTAATATGCTTTTATGTCTACCAATTTCAATTCAAGAGCTTGTATTGTTACAGTAAAGAAAGTACAGCTAAATAAGTTAATTTTGGATATCTGAAAAAAACTAACAAGAATATTTAATAAAAGATATTATTAATATTTTCATTTCAATAACACTGCTATTCTGGCAATTGAGAGAACTTGGGTTTCCTGATGCCACAGGACCCAGTGTCATGAAAGACAGTTTCCTTGCTAAAGATTTCTGCTCAGTGTGAACCCTCAGGAGGAGCAAGGCAGAGTTAGTTGTCTTCTCTGACTTAGACCGAAAGAGAAGTAAGTGTCTGTGATTTGGAGTCAGAAGATCTGTTCTGGGATTCTGGCTTTATAATCTGGGAAAACTGCTCAACATTAGATCCAAGTTTGCCATCATAAGACAGCTATAATTTCACCTGATATTCTAGTTACAGGCTATCATGAAGGTCAATTAAGATGATATACTTGGAGCTGCTTTGCACTGCAGGCATTTTGAGCTGATAATTCCTTGTGGTGAGGCCGTCTGGTCCACCAAAGGATGTTCGCCATCCCTGGCCTCTGCCCCCTCCCATATGGGAATACGGCAATATAGCCAATATTATGAAAGATAATAGGGGAGGGAGAAGAGGGGGAAGAATAATAGTTTACAACTGACAGGTCCTGTGGGTATTACCTTAGGCATTAAGAATATATATATAATTATATAGAAGACCTGGCCTAAGGTAATACCGCCATTTGTCTAAATTTTCCTGATTCCCTCAGCAATATTTAAGTTTAAACATTGCCACATCTTTAGTCATAGTATTACTCCCTTGTACATAGTACTTGTCATCATGGTCATCAGATTATCTCAAGTATTTTGCTAATTTCAAAAGCAGTCCAGACTCAATAAATAAAAATTACTACATGAAAAATGAACTAACTTTATTTTTTGAATAGCAACAGTTAACAATTTTTAAGATAAGAAACTACTTTGATAACCAATGAAAAATTATTCTAACATAAAATAGTTTTGTATAGACAAAGGGCACCTAAGAATTTATGATTTGTATTTCTGTATCTTAGTTCCTAGCCAGTGGAGATGGTCAATAATGGTTTGTTCATTTAGTAAATACCATGTTAATATGTTTAACATGTGAAGCACTGAGCTGGCTACTGCTAATACAATGAGTAACAACAAAACTCAACAAAAACATGGTCTTTATCCCAAGTGTTTCAGTTTAGTAGAGAAGAACCATTAATTACTCAACTATAATATAAACACTATGCTAAAAGCACAATCCCAGACAAAGGACAGAGTGCTGAAGAATTCATCCAAAGCACACTCATGAATGTGTGTGGAAATACCATATATTTCCTTATCCAGATTTTGGGGAAAGAGGTGGAGGAAAACTTAAAGCAGAGGGATAAATAAATGATAGTTTTGCTAACACATATTAACCAATACTAAAGGCCACTATGTCATTTAATTTTCTATTGAAAATAGTTTAAGTTTATAGATAAAAACTTATATTTATCTATAAAATGATCACCATAGGAAATAAAATCTGTTTACCAATTTGAGACACTAAAGTACCATGTCTAAGTTAGATATAAAAGGATGTAATTTATGAGATTTTCTTGATAATACATAAGAACCAGAATTGACAGCTTATTTTACACGATTTTTTGGCAAGATACTCTGCAGAACAGCAAATCTCATTCACTTTTACTTCGTTTCAGTCTTTTAGGTTAAGGCAAAACAGTGTTTAGCAACTCTCTTCTCTCAACTTTGTGTTTACTTGCCACCAACACAGAGTCTGGGACAGAAAGTCTACTCAGGGAGCCCAGAAAGTAGCACCCAAGGAAGGAGAGGAGCTAAGGACCACAAAAATTTAAAACAGTTTTCCTTCTTCTGTTGGGTCCCAAAATGGCCTGGGTCTAGTGCATACTCACAAGAATTGAGGAAGTTGGGGAAATTCTGGGCTGGTGTTCTCTTTTGTGAAAAGGTTTGTCTCTTCTAATTTTATCCTAATTTTTGGAGATCTGAGGTATCTTTTCAATCCTGTCTGAGAATAATCGTGTGGTTTTCAATCTGTTTCCCTAATTACTGCATGTAAAGTATCTATTTTCATGTCCTATAAAAATTGGAGCAAAAAGCATTTTCAAAGTACCAGGGATCATTATTTTGTTCCAGAGCTGTTAGACCAACTCAAGTGGTCTATGATACCTGATATGACGATCTCAGGGACATCCAGAATGTTGCCAAATGAAGCGGTTTTACGGTGGCCCCGTTTAGGCTTGGAATAGGCTGCAAAAACACATACATACAGTATACATGCAAACAACCACAAACGGTAACACAGAGAACGATTAACTACAAAAACAGAATAATTTTCAAATAGTTATGTTAATAACATTTCATGCAGAATGGCATGCAGAACCAGCTAACTTTTTATCCATGCTTGGAAAAGGCATGATTAGAAAGCAAACAACTACCAATGCGAGATGTTTCCCACACTGGTTTTAATTAGTAGGACAAAAGGGACAGAGACAAAGCTGCAGGGTAATGAGGAAGCTACATTGCCAGTATGTTCACAGAAACAGGCTGCCTAAGTGAGACCACTGGTATGTGACAGAGGAGGGAGGGAAGAGAGGAGTTAAAAGGAAAATAAGCTGCTGTATTTGTTTCAATTACACGAACACAGAAATACATGTCCAAGTTAGGTGTTTCTTGAAGTGTGCTATAAATTAAAATTCAATTATTAAATAACCATTACTGAAACAAAGTGTGAAATGGATATGCTTTTGTCATTACAAATACTTATACATATTGCTAGTAAACTGAATATTTACTCGAGTTTCCAAAGCTTAGGGTATATTTCCACTAAACATGAATGTCGTAGAAAGGCTGGAGAGTAATCTTTCCAAGTAAGACGGTTCACTAAAAAATTTAAATTGCATAAAATTCAAAGGACATATAATAGCGTCTGTTCTATATTTAGGCAGAACGAATAGGGTAATTTTTATGTGTGTGGTTATCTATATTCTAGTAAAATATCATTTCTGTAAAGAATAATTATAAACCAGTATTTGACTAGAAAAATGATACTAGAAAAGACATAAAACTACTATTATAATTCTATTTTCTATTTCAGGGTAGCAATTAACTCGGCGATCTACTCTGAATAACATCCCTGAAGTGAAAGGGCTCCCTACGTGTGAGGATATATATCTGAGCAGGGTCATCTGACACTACATGGGGACAGCTTTGAGACTCATGGAGACCAGAAGGGCTTATCAGTGGCTGGTGACTCCATCAATGTGATCGTTTCTGAAGATTCATCTGTGGCACAGACAGCTAGTCCCCTTCCAATTCTTCCCTTCTTGCTTTGCAACAGACCCCTGATTTTATTTAGGACTTCAAAGTTCCCATAGGAAGACTGCAGATCCCTCCTTGCTTGGGAGCAATGTGTAGACATCTGAGCACATTACTTTGGCCAATGACGTGTATGTGGAAGTTGTGTATGTGGAAGGGACTTGTCGGAAAGCCCCTTCAAAGAATGTGGATGTCCTTTTGCTCTCCCCTGATTCTTCCTTCCTGCTGCCTGGAATGTGAAAGTGCTGACACTCACAAGGGACCTGACGGATTGTGTGGCACTGAGGTTGGAGACCAGCTGCAGGAAGTTCATGAAGCCCCCTCCAGACTTGTCTATGTGTGAAAGAGAAGGCTTATGTGTTACAGATACTGTGATTTTGGATATTGTGTTATATCTACCGGATTCTAATGCTAGATGATATTATCAGCGACCAGGATTAGTTGAAGACTAGTATGACAGTTCATCTTGACAACTTTGTTCTAACAAGAGTTCCACACACAATGACAATATTCTATTTAGGAAAAAAACACAAATAAATAAAAAAAAGATCTAAAAAAACTTGGTTAGCCAAGTTAAAAAGTACATATGTAAATACACATGGAAATACATATTTATACACATGTATAGTTAAAAGACTAGAGATAAATACACAAACATGTTATCTCTGAGTGGGGTAATTATGTAAGTTTTTTTTCTTGCCCTATTTACATTTTCACATTATCTACAACAGAAACATTTTTACTTTTATAATCAACTCCCCTCCACCCCTGGGAAAAATCAGAAAAAACCTTCAAATTAAACTGACATTACTAAGCAGAAAACTGGTGAGACAAGAAGGTCATCTGCCACTTAGGAAATTAAGCAGGTCATTGTTTTTGTGCTGACCAGTTCTTGTACGATTAATTATGCCAAGAACTGTCAAAATAGAATCTAAATGCTAGCTTTTCTGAAAATCCAACAAAATTATCATTTATTATTACACAATTAAAAGAATTCAGCACAACCAGTGCAGCCATTTTGGCCAATGGAAGGAAGAAGGAGTAGATTGTAAGGACAAATCATATTTAGATTTGGAGCACATTTTCCTGCTGACTTCATTACAAAATATTTGCTATTATTTGAGTTCAGCACAAAAATCTAGCGGAATCACTCAAAATCTCCTAAAATAGTCTAGTTTTTGCAAAATTTCAATTTCTCACTTAGACTTTCAGCTCATATTTGAGCAAAAAGAATTATATTTGATAAAATCTATAATTAGGAAGGTATATTTTATAATGCAAAATATTTTATTAGTCCCTACTTGGAATTTGAGATAAATGCATAAATTATTGCTAGAAGCTTAGAAAAATATATTGTAAACTTCCTGCTTAAAAATATATGTAACACACAAAAATGTCTGACAATCCCACGGAAATGACTGGAGCTAGCACCTTTTCCCTCTCCCGACAGTGCCCCTTTACCTGTGGTTGCGGCGATCCTCGCTTCTATTTCCGACATGTCAGCACTCATTCTCTTGCCCTCAGAGGTTGGGGGCAAGCTCTCCACGCTGCTCCCCCGAGAAGCCCCCAAGCTTAAACGTCCAGATTCGTTCTGCTAAAATTACACATCAATCTGAATTACTAAAGTTCTTTAGATTTAGAAATCTTTGGCAGCCTAGGAGGAAGACATCAAGTGAGATTCTTAAGGATCCTGTTCTGCTCTGAAGAGGGAAACCATAGGGAGAGGAAGCTTCAGGGGTAGAGGGAGCAAGCTACAGACACTAACTGCCTTCCGGAAAAGAAGTCACTACAGCTGGGAGTGAAATGTCCAAATTATTACTTAACCTAAAAGCACAGGTTAAGATGAAAAAAATCACTCCTTAAAATATTTTTAAACCAAATAATGGCAAAAATATAATAAATCTGAACAGCATGAAATGACAGATTTAGGATAACTCCTTATAACTGGGCAGTGTAGCTGAAATATATCCATTTTACATTTCTTGTTTTTGGAGACAGAGTCTCACTTTGTCATCCTGGGGAGATGGTATCATTCATCGTAACTCATAGCGATTTAAAACTCTTGGGCTTAAGTGATCCTCTTACCTAAGCCTCCCAAGTAGCTGGGACTACAGGCACCTGTCACAACGCCTGGCTATTTTTCAGAGACAGGGTCTTGCTCTTGTTCAGGATGGTTCTGAACTCGTGAGCTCAAGCAATCCACACACCTTGGCCTCCCAGAGTGCTGGGATTACGCGCATGAGCCACTGCACCTGGCCTATCCATTTTAATTTTTAACCATAAACCACTGAAGTTCAGAATTATGATAGGGAGTGAGTTACAGAGTTAACAAAGGTAGCAATCATTAAAAGGGAAAACAATTTGGTAATAAATTGCAAGGAGAACCTTGTAATCTCTTTACGTATCTCTATTCTTAAACTACTTCTCTGCTTTAGGAAGAAGATTCAGGATTTATATAATAGAAAATGGTAAACAATTAATTTCAGCTAATATAAAGTTAACTACTGGCAAGGTTATCACATAATTTTATTTTTAGTAACAAACCTGTTGCTTTGCCTGATTTTTCAACAATTTTGATTCCAAGCGTTTAATAGTATCATTGGTAGCAGGAAGCTGCTCCAGGTTAGTGTCACTTTTATTACTGGTATTTGTAGATGCAATGTCCATAAATGAGCCTAGGAAAGAAGAAACATTTATGAATACAGATTAGTAAAAGTAGAGAAGTTTCATTCAGTATTCATGTCACTTAAGTTCTTTTTAAAATGGCAAGACAAGAACAGAAGTGTTTTCAAGCTAATGAAGATACCCCCAAACAAACCCATTTAAAATCAAACTTAAGGATGGTACAAAAAGGAACCAAGAAGCTTAAATAATCTTCTAATAATCAAGAATACCAAATGGTTTTTAGCTTGAGCTAGAAGGAGATAGGGAAGACTCGGAGGAGTCTTGACGGAATCGGAGGAGTTTGACGGAATTACCAGGAACTCAGTTTCAAAGATGTTACATTCCAGGTCCTGCGTGAATGGCCTCATATTACCCAGAGGCTGGGTGTTGGACATTGCAAAAGTACGAACGGACTTTTTTTTTTTTTTTTTTTTTT